GAAAAAAATATGACTATTGCAGACTCTTCAACAGAAACTATGGAAGCCAGAAGAAAATGGAACAATATTTTTAAAGTATTAAAAAACAAAACCAAAACAATCTGTCAACCTAGAACTCTATAGCACAATATCTTCTATACATATAGAAGAATATCTTTCAAAAAGAAGATATATTAATTTGCTAGGGCTGCCCTAACAAAATACCACCGACTGGGTTGGGTTCGCAACAGACATTTATTTTCTCATAGTTCTGGAAGTTAGAAGTCCAAGATCAAGGTGTTGGCAGGGTTGGTTTCTTCTGAGGCCTCTCTCCTTGGCTTATAGATGGTCACTTCTTGTTGTGTCTTCACATGGTTTTTTTCTCTGTGACCTCACAACCTACGCAGTCTCTCTGTATGTCCTAATCTCCTCTTCTTATAGGGAAACCAGTCAGAAGGGATTAGGGCCCACTTTTAAAATCAGCCTCATTTTAACTTAATTATCTCTTTAAAGGCCCTATCTCCAAATATAGTCATATTCTGGGAGTTTGGGCTTCAACAAAAGAATTTGGGGCAGGACACAATTCAGCCCATAACACCCTGCCCTCTGTACCCCCAAAGTTCTTGTCCATCTTACACACAAAACACATTCACCCCCATCCCAACAGCCCAAAAGTCTTAACCCATTCCAGCATCAACTCTAAATCCCAAATCTCATTTAAATATCATCTAAATCAAGTGTGGGTGAGACTCAAGGTTATCATTCATCTTGAGGCAAAATTCCTCTCTAGACGTGAACCTGTTAGAACTAGACAAGTTGTCTGCTTCCAAATACAATGGTGGGCCAGACATAGGCTAGACATTTCCATTCCAAAAGGGATAAACTGGAAAGAAGAGAAAGGGATCATGGGTCCTAAGCAAGTCCAACACGTAGCAGGGCAAATTCCATTAGATTTTAAGGCTTGAGAATAATCCTCTTTGGCTGGATGCTTTGTCCTCCAGGCCCACTGGGGTGGTAGCTCCATCTCTCTGGCCCTGGGTGGTAGCCTGGCCTATTGAAACTGAGGAAATAGCCCTGCCCTCCAGAACTAAGGAAGAAGAGAGAGCCTTGTCCCCTAGACCTGTGCCCTCTGGGCTGGTGGATATATGTTGTCTTCAAGAAACTCACATTAAATATAAATATATGGAAAAAGATTTACCATGAACTCACTAACCTAAAGAAAAGTGGAGTGGTTACGTTAATATCAGACAAAGCATACTTCAGAGTATGGAATATTACCAGCTATGAAGACAGACATTATGATAAAAGAGTCAATTCATCTAGAAGACATAACAATCCTTAATGTGTATGCACTCAATAACAGAGCTTCAGGATACATAAAGCAAAAACTGATAAGGCAAGAAAAACAAACAAATCTGTAAATTTAGTTGGTATGGTAGCTAGCCTCTAAGAAGGTAAAGGAAACAAAACAATTCAGGGAATCTTCAGGTATAATGTTATATTTCTATAGGCCAGGCAGTTCCAGATTATAGGGTCACTACTCAGTATGGAGTCTGACTGGTTCCTGACATCAATAGTCAGATTATCCAAAGCTATTGAATGGCACTGAAGAAACTGTCTTGGGTCGCCAAATAAATAATCAGCAAAGTATATACTAAGCATTTTCTACACGCATACTACTGTGCTAGAAATAAAAGACATGGTTCTGACAGTGAAGAACTTACAATCTAGTTGGAGAAATAAGAGTCACAAATATGAAAGACAATATAATAAACTATGCAGAACTCACTAGAATTCAGGCACTCATTTAAGTTACTGAGCAAGGACCAAGCACCTGACGTGGTGCTAATTTTAAGATGAAAGTGATATGGTTCACATCCTCAACAGACAGAAAGCCTAAAATGGGAAGACATATGAAAACAAGTAAGTATAAGTGTTATAGGTACTACGAAAGCCCTCAAGAGGGAGTGGCACATTCTGCCTGGAGTTTCAGGAAAGAATGCATACAAGAGGGGCCAGCCCAGTGGCGCAGCAGTTAAGTGCGTGCCCTCCACTTTGGCAGCCCGGGGTTCGCAGGTTTGGGTCCTGGGCGTGCACCGTCGCACCGCTTGTCAAGCCATGCTGTGGCGGTGTCCCATATAAAGTAGAGGAAGATGGGCACGGATGTTAGCCCAGGGCTAGTCTTCCTCAGCAAAAATAAGGAGGATTGGCAACAGATGTTAGCTCAGGGCTGATCTTCGTTGCAAAAAAAAAAAAGAATGCATATAAGAAATGATGTCTGAGCTGAGTTTAAAAACTCAGATTCCTATTTAGGTATTCCACAGAGAGACAAGGTAAGGAACGGCATATCAGGCAGAAAGATTAGTAGGAGCAAAAAGAAAGAAGTATGAAAACTGTAAGTAAAAATGTTAAAAAAATTAACTTACATTAAAAAATGCATTACATTAAAAAAATGTAAGTGGTTGGATATGTTTAAGGATAGGGTGAGAATAGATGTGCATTTAATAATTAGGCCAAATGAGAGAAGGCCTCGTATGATATGATAAGGAATATGGACTTTATCCTATCTGCCTTCGTCTTCCTCTCTCTCTTATTCATTCAACAAATATTTACTTAGTGGATACTATATACTAAGCACCGTTCGTGGTACAGAGGATACAGCATTGAAAAAGATAGACAAGGCTCTTGTCCTGTCCTCATGGGGGTGCTATTGTGGGGAGCATGGTGGCAGTGAAATGCACTGGAAATACCGAGTGGAATAACACAAATGTCAGTTGCAGAAGGCTCTACGTCCCTAAAACAAAAATATAAACAATATACACATAGAAAATAAACCAATATGCATATTTAGAAGTGATTAATGTCTTATGTTTCTAGGGCTTCAAAAACCAAAGTCCAACTTTGATCACAATACTTTCATAGGCAAATCATTTTGTGTTATTAGAGGTCATCTTTCTCAATAGTCTGCATTATTCCCTTAAACTTTCTTTCTTTCACTTTCCATGTCTGCTCTCTATTCCGATACTCATCCTGTTGTCTCTGTTTCCTTTATTCACGGTTTTTGTCTCCAGATTAGCCTTCTCATTTCTTTATTGAAATAAAAAAATCACAACATGAAAAAAAAAGAATCATTGGATTTTTACAGGCAACAGTAAACAGAAAATGTAGCATGGGGGAAAACCTAAACTAATTCATCTAGTGGTTCTTTTACTTAAAAACTTAGTTATGTTGTAACCCACAGTTCCCTAGAGACAACTGAAGATACATGCTACCAACTTGTCAAGAATCCCTTATCCAAATATCCTTAACTCAGACTTTCCTTCAGTGGCCGTAATTATTAGTGGCCATCACTTCTATGAAATAACTATGGCATGTTAACAGATTGTCCTTAACCCTTTCCCTTGTAAACCAGCCCTTTCTGATACTTGAGCAAGTTACACTGAGGGAAGAATAAAGTGGCACTTCTTCAAATGGTAATTTCTATTATCTGTTGAAGAACTAACCATTGCTAAGAATCTTGAATCTGAACACTGAATTCCCCAAGGTAGCTCCTGTTGCATCAACCTGAATTGTAGTTGCTTTTTAATAGGGTTTTGTCAAAGTTCAAGTGAGAGACTTACCTCTTCCTGGGTCATCTTCTGCAGCTCATTCTCCCAAGCTGCCTGGTCATCGTCCAAGTTATAGGAAGCTGGTGGAGTGAGTCCACGAAGGATCAGGGGGTCTCGGTCATGGCAGAGGGCTGTCAGGTGTCCAATATACAACTTTAATTTGCTTCTATTTTGGTCAAGTTCTAAGAGGGGCTGGATGATCTGAGGTGAAAAAAATGAGGAAAGTCAAGGTCAATTTGATACAAGGAGTTCAAATATCTTTATGCCTCCCAAGTCAAAGAAAATTGACCAAAGACTAAAGCTCTGCTAATCACTATTGAGATCTTCAGGCTTATAAAAAGAAACAGTTCACAAACTTGCACATTTACACTGTCACACCCCCCACCCCACCCATTCTGGGAGATGGGTAGGGAATGTTGGCTCCGTATATCAACCCGAGACTGAGAGTTCCGTACTTAGGGAGGGGATTAAGCACAGGACTAACTTGTTTCTACAGAGATGACATTCCTGATACAGAAAGACTCCAAGTTACCTCACAATTTCTCTTTCCATTTATTTAAGAGTAGAGTAGGTTACAAATAATTGCTAGTGAAATTTGCTCATCTGAAAGCCTGGACAACATACATTTCATGTGTTCCTCCACCTCCCAGAAGGAAAGAAAAATTCTGTCTCTGGAGAATGTGCATGTTTTTCTTGGCCAAGAGATGTGATGAGTGAACTCATTACTAAATCTGCCTCATCCTGGCTTAAGCTCCTTTCCTTCACTTCACAGAGGCTCTCCGATATTTTTTTCAAACAGTGATTAATAAATCCTTTGTAATACCAAACACCTGACTCACAGCCAAGGACTCTCTGCAGTTCTCTCAGTTGTAACGTTGGTTCTATGTTTTTCCTGTTCTCTACTGTTTTTCTACTCCCTTTACCCTGGATGAATAACTATCCCTTTGACTCTGTTTGGAAGCACATTAAATGACAGATGACTTCTGCCCCAGAATTTTGTTAGACAGCTCTCATGACAATTCTCTGGCCAGGTAACTTGGTAGTTAGTCAAAGCCTGGGGTGTTTAGGAAGAGCTGGGCCAGCACTCCCATCTCAGAACACTGAAATGTTAGAGCAGCATCTGCGTGATATACAGCAGCTGTGAGAGCTGCAAACCCTGCCAAAATGCTGGTGATTCTCAAAATGTTCCCAGGGCTTACAAGGCAGAGGTCTGCACCTGTTGCATGTCACTAGGCTGGCATTTCTCATCAACAGGACACCTATGACACACCTCATGAATAAGGAGCTCAATAATCTTCAAGTCAACAGAAACAACGTGTGGTATTACTTTCAAGATGACACTGATTTCTCCCTAGCCTCCTCAGAGAACTGTTCCTACTACTTTCCTTTATTTCTTTTTAAGAGTTTTTTTTAAGTGAATAAAGTTTATGTTTTTTATTATGAGATCAATACATATTTTACTCTGAAAAATATGGAGAAAGAAGTACAAAAGAAATAAAAAAATAGCCTATAGGTCCATTTGCAACAGTTTTGTGATTTCCTTCCAAGTCTTTTTTTTTTTTTAAAGGAAGGGGCAGTTTGTAATTTTATTTATTTATTTATTTTTTCCCCCAAAGCCCCAGTAGATAGTTGTATGTCATAGCTGCACATCCTTCTAGTTGCTGTATGTGGGACGCGGCCTCAGTATGGCCGGAGAAGCAGTGCGTCGGTGCACGCCCGGGATCTGAACCCGGGCCGCCAGCAGCAGAGCGCGCGCACCTAACCGCTAAGCCGCAGGGCCGGCCCCCATGTCTTTTTATAAGCTCATGTAAGTCAACTTTTAACAGTATCATACTTCACATTTTGCTTGATACACTGTTCACCCATTTAATGTCATAATGTGAGTACTACTTACGACATTACGTATTCCTGGCAAACATGGTTTTTAATGCTTGCTTTATAAATACACCACATTTCCTTTGTTTCTCATACTATTTCCGGGAAATAATTGAGAGGGAAGGGCCCGAGTTTAGTGGCTAAAACAATCTTTAGCTTACTCAAGAGATCAGAGTTCAGAGTTTAGGCCTATATAATATAACATAGAAGTTGGAGCCTGGCTAGATAAATGAGAAAAAGTGATTCAATTTAGCGTTATTTTCATTTTTAAAACATACACATGCACACACAGTTCTTTAAGGATAAAGGTGAAACACTTGGGAGCTGGTGTGAAAAGCTCTTGGGCTCTATCAGTAGGCTCATGGTACCAGTTCTGAGCTGGCATTTCCTACCTATGATAGGCATATCAACACTGCCAATCTCAGAAGGAAGAGATTATTTCAATAAAGCAGAGGATTTGGAGACCACCAATCTCTGTATTTTATTTCTGACCATAAATGCATACTCACTGTAGAAAATTTAGAAAGAACTTCAAAGTGCAACCTTTAAAGCAAATTTAAAGGCAATTTCTTTTTTTTTTTTTTTAGTAAGTCAACCTATTTTTTTTTTGAGGGAGATTGGTCCTGTGCTAACATCTGCTGCCAGTCTTCCTCTTTGTCTTTTTTCTCCCCCAAGCACCAGTACATAGTTGTGTATCACAGTTGCAGACTTGCAGCTCCTCTACGTGGGACGCCGCCTCAGCATGGCTTGATGAGTAGTGAGTAGGCCTGTGCCCAGGATCCGAACTGGCGAACCCAGGGCTGTTGAAGCAGAACACGTGAACTTAACTACTACGCCACCGGGCCGGCCCCTAAAGACAATATTTCTTTTTAGTTATTTGCACTTCAATAACTAAACTGGCTAGTCATGGTTCTACTACCACACCCCTCATGCCTCCAAGCAATGCAGCCCTATTTCATTTTCCATTTTTTTTAGCTTGGCCTTCTCTATCTTCTTTTATAGATGCATTGATAAAAAATCACTTTTGGGATTTCCACTGGGTTTGTGCAATTTAATAACCATTCCATGTGTATGTGTGTGTCTGTGTATAGTTGCCATCACATCTGGGCTGCAAGGCTGAAAGAGCTGATAGTAATTACTGTTTGGATTGGAAAGCTGGCATAATAAAGTATGACCACTGAGGAAGGGGACAATGTGATAAATGGTAGTAATGAAAAGATCAAATTTCTTACAGTAAAATAAAATTTAGAAGGATACTAGCTCACTACTGTATGACTGGGGATGAAAAAATTGACTTTAGATCTCTGTTCTTAATAAAAGATGAATTTCAAACTGATTTAAATGCATTTCATGTTTAAGTGCTAACTGATTAAAAAATATGATAGTGTTTTGCAATCTGTAATTTTTCAAAGTCCAATTGAAAACTCAAAAAATGATGGAATTTGACATTTTTTTCCAGGATGAAAATTCATTCTACGCAATAGCCAAGATGTCTGTCCTTTTTTCCCTGCCAAAGGGAACTGCTTAAAAAAAAAACTCCAAAAAAAAAAACTATGGAGGTTATTATGTGAAAGTATATGAAACTGCCCCACTAGTATAGTTCCCAAATCTATATATAAAAAAAAATCACTTTGGCATCTCTGGGACACATTTAACCATGTCAATCATGTGGGAAATGCCCTTATCTCTTCCTTTTCTCCCCTATCTAACTTGGGTAGGCCACTTAGAAAAGAAATTGCGTTTCCCACAAGGTAGAAACTGCCACTGTCTAATCTCAAGAGGGAAGAGGGACACTTGCCAAGTAGAAAGAGGATGCCTTACAAGATCCATAAGTCATATCTTTTGTCCAAATACAACCTCAGTAGATTGGCAAGGAGTCCTACCAAAAACCATCAGAAATGTGATCAGGCCACATTAGTTCTACAGCTATGCAGAACTATATCTTTTTTGGCAAAAACAAGTTAAAAAATGAACTTGTCAAGATAACCTCTGCTTCCATCAAATATAATGCTAAAACAGCAATATTCCCCCAATCCTACATTTACCAAGTTGTTAAAGAAAAGAGTTTAAATCATAAAAAGGGATGAGAGATTTTTGGTTGATGTACTGAGAGCTTTGTTGCTTCTTGCAAGGATTTATTTGCTTACATATTAATCCTCAAATTGGCTTTGGAGGCCAGCATTTGACGACATATGGTGACAGAGGACAGAGATCTTCTGAGGGTGTTTATTTTATCCTTCCCATTTAAGCAAGGTTAGATGGCTAACGGTCTTCTAGAAGACAGATAAGTTGCTCCTATACTGTTTAATGCAGATTGTAACTGAAAATTCTATAGTATTCCATTTCTGCAACCCATTTATCTATGAGATTTGAACACACTTTCTTAGACCATTTGACTTTTCAGTACCAGGATGGACTGTGTGGAGCGAAAGGCCCCTAACCAGTCAATTATATGGCCTGCTTTTCTCTTCCTATCTTACTGTTTCTGTGTCAGACATTTACTCTAAGTACAGGTTAGTTGGTTGCAACACATTCTATGGGCTCATTTGAGAGGAATGCTCATCATAAAGACTTGATGAATAGGTACTGAGTATTATTTGGGGCTTAAGGTATTTGCCCTTGGGGTACTAATGCTTTGTTGTTTGGAAGATGTGACATTTTTTAAGCTAATATTTATTGATCATTTACTGTGTTCCTGGCAAATTATTTTAATATTTACTATGATTCTTCTGTGGCTAGCCCACTGCCCTTAATTGGCTATAAAATATTTTTGCTCTTCTTTCTATCTGCTGAAGTCTTCAAAAGCAGGTTCAACTATCCATATATTAACTACATAAATGCTAGTGGTACTTTTGACTTCTCAGTGGGCTACCATTACACTGCTGTCCCCAACACAGGTACATCAAGAAAGTCCCAGAACAACTAACATATTAACTTCCCAGAGACATTATTCTCTTAATGGCATTCTTGTGCAGAGGCCCCAGCAGAGAGCTAAACTCTCAAAAGTGAAAAAAGAGGCAAGGGGGGCCGGCCTTGTGGCATAGCGGTTAAGTGCACGTGCTCCGCTGCTGGCGGCCCCGGGTTCGGATCCTGGGCGTGCACCAACCCACCACTTGTCAGGTCACGCTGTGGCAGCCTCCCACATAAAGTGGAGGAAGATGGGCACGGATGTTAGCTCAGGGCTGATCTTCCTCACAAAAAAAAAAAAAAAAAAGAGGCAAGGGAATAAAATTCATCAATCCAGCCTCAAAGTCTTTTTTTCCTTAATAACTAAGCTTATCTTCTTGGTTAATAATGTACTTCAGGCTCAAGAAGATGAAGGACAG